GACATCTTGTATCCAGCTGCTGGTACCCATCTGGCACCTAAAGATTTCCTTTTAGTTGTTTGATACAGAAATTATCTGCCATTAGATCTGCCACTGGGCCTATTTAATTGGTATTAAAAGGAAGCTTCTTGTTTGCCAGGTCTGCTGTGGGTTCTGGCAGAAGCTGTGAGTGACCAGCAAATCTGCCTTGCTTAGGAGTTGCAGAGAGAAGGCAATTACATTTCCCTGCTCTCCAGAGGTTTTAAGGACTCGGAACTTATGAAAAGGATAACTAGCTTGTTGCTATTTCATATGTAAAATTTTAATGAATTACTGGCAGTCTAATGATCTTTTGGGGGGGGCTATTTTAGAATTTTTAGCTAATAGCCCTAATGAGAATTTTTGATTAGTCTGTCCTTCTTGTCTATTGCAATGGCTGGGTTTTAATTTTTTTGTAGACACGGTATTTATGCCCTCTGGGGAGTTTCATTTTATAATTAAAATGCGCTGCAAACCTTATAGGTAAAGCTCCAAGTGAATGCTCCTGTGTAAACACAAATCTTTTCAGCCCTTAAATGTAATTAATCTGACAATAGTAAATGCCAAGATGCTTATTTAAAGGAAAGGTTTTTTGTTGGGGGCAGGATGGGAAGGGAGAAACTTTTTATTCCAGAAAATTAGATGCTTTACAGTATTATAACCTCTTTCCCTACAGAGAGCAGGTACATACAGATACTTACGCTTCAGGGGATAAACTGGGAGAAATCTGTTTTTAATTCAAAGGAGGAGGATAAAAATAGATGCTAGTCTTAATTTGGTGGTCTTTTTTCTCCTCCTACCAGCGATTTCAGGGTCTTATTTCTCCAGGGTTTGTTTGCAGCTGTCTTCCTTGTTATAATAAGTTATTTTGTAATCAGCTTGTGGGGGCTTCTCCAAAGGCTTGGTCCACTGCAGTGCAGGGAATATTCTTGATTAACGTGGTGAGATTGCCATGGAAACAGATTGTCTAGTGTCAGGTCCTGCACAGTGTTGGGAATTTACAATCCCCAGACGTGTTTGTGAGCTGGACAGTGTGGTTACCGGGGATGCTTCTGGAAGTCATTTTCTCAGTCCTTTGAAGGGCAGCGGTGTTTGGGGAAACCAGCCCTTGGTCCTCTCTGGGCCGGAGCTGTGCTCTCCCACAGAAGCCTGCTGCTTTTGTTCCTGCATGCTGCTGCTTTGTTCTTCTCAGTCTGAACGGCTGCTGCAAAAAATAATCCTGACCGCCTGACCTTTTGGAAGTAAACTGGGAAGAGCTCGTTGTTTAGATGTAGCTTTGTGGGAGACATGTTGGTGCTTTGATTCAGAGAATTGTTCAAGAGAAACCAGAAAGTCTGCTTATGGGTTCAAATATTATTTCAATAATAATAATAAATGTAACCTGAAAGGGACTGGCATGACTATATTGTGTTTTATATTTGGAACTGAGCTCTAACCACAAAGGCATTGTGAAGACCCCAGAAACACTAATCTCAAAATAAGTGCAAATAATAATTTATCTGCAAAGCTTGTAAACAGTCAAGAATTTGGCAGGGAGAGAAGGATATAAGAGATGGACTTTAAATAATAACCTTTGTGCTTTTTACATATACTTCTTCGTTCATTTTTAGAGCAGCTCTCTGATGAAGGCATTATTTCCTTTACAAAAGCAAACCAAGAGCTTAAGCAAGAGAGGGGTTTAATTAGATCTTTTTTTAAAAAAAAAGAGAAGAAAAAAATTAGATCCACATCACTGCAGATGTTTATGCATAGGCTGGTTAGATTATTTTCCGGGTGCAGCGTTATCTAGGTTGTGGACCTGTATAATCTAACACAGATAACCCTAGTATGCAGTGATGTTGCAGTACCCCGATGGCAGGGGGAGGTAGCTCTAGAAGGAGTCAGGCCTGTAACTTTTGGTTAGAGCAGATGATAGGGGGTTCATCCTTGCCCTCCCAGATGAATTGAAGTAACAGACTGCACAGCTACTTAGCTCATCCCACCCTTGTTGTATCAGTACCTCTCTGGCCATTTGGAAGTAAAGAACACAGGAATGTGTCTCTTACAGATGTTTTTATGTCTTATCTTTGGATTTGGGGTGAGTTGGCTTGTGGGTAATCTGATATCTTTCTGGTTCAGAGGTACTAAGAATTTCACCTCATCATGTTGAAGCTGAAGAACAAATTTATACAGCACTTGATTGCCCTGCTCCCAAATTTCAGAAGCTAGAACTGAAGAATTAGAGACATAGCCGTGATTCAAGTAAGGCAAAGGCATAGGGAAAGGATGTGTTAATGGTGGATTCCACTGGAGAGGGAGCAGAATTAGAGGGAGGTAGAGAAGATTGTCAGATTTTAGTGCATAGTCTATATTGCTTATATTGCAAATATATCCTGTATTATTTTTGTTGTAAGAAGGCCTATGCATTTAAAAACAGCAACAACAACACAACCTTAAGCCACCTCCTCCTGCAAAAAAGATAAAAATCCTTAGTAGGAACTGGAACAACATGTCTAAAAATGGTACCACTTTTATAGCCCATAGGATTTAGCAGGCAGTAGACCCTTTAACTGGATGAAATCTCATCTGCACACTAAGGTGGTTGATGGATTTTTTAAACCAAGAACTGGAACTGAATGAAATATTGATTTGGTTCAGGTTCAATTCAAAGGCTACTCTGATATTCTGGTTTTGTTTCAGATCAATAATTTTAGAAAAAGGCTTAGGTATATCAAAGTTCAGCTTTAAAAGGAAAAAGGGTTGTTTCAGTTTTGTATTCAGCACATGAATAGTTTGTTCAGGTTTTGCTTCAAGTTGCATCAGATGGAACTGTCACTACAGAAGTGAAACTGTTGGGTGTTAACTGTACTGGACATGGAGGCATAGCCTACCATTTGGTGTCTAATCAAGTGAGATGATAGAATCATCATAAGCAGCAAAGCTAACTCATCACATTGTTTGGCTTAAATTGAGATACCGTGTATATAGTGTTCAAGTGGGTTTCTTGAGGCATGATATATAGAGTTAATGAAGTGGTAAGATTAGGATCTTAGTTATTCTGTCGTGTTTGAGAAGTGGTCTCTGGCCCAGGTCAGTTTTCTTGGGGGATTTCCACAAAATGGATTTTTTGGGCTTAGAACTGGGGTGAAGCAGACATTCACTGATGCAAAATGAGGTTGAAATTGAAGTTGATAGTGAACATTGTGATGAAAAAGTATGTGTGGTTTTGATTTGCTTTCCAGGAAGATACTTTTAGAGACTCAATTGGGCCATGTAGTTTTAAGAGAATCCTTTTTATGCATTCTTTCTTTGCAAAGTGATTTCTTGTTGTGGACAGCTTGGGAACTGTACCTTTTTCCCTTAGTTTTGATTTGCATTGTCCAATTTGGCAATGCTTCCTTTGAAGGCCATAACAAATGCTACTCTGCAGATGGAGAAGTGACATGCAGTGTCTCTGCAGGATATTCTACATTGGCTGTTTTTTTTTTCATTCCTAGGACTGTCTGACATCACAGGAAATTATTCTGTTTGAACTCTCCAGCCGAGCCAATTAGTTCCGACTTCCTGGGGGAGGGAGGGGCAGTGGAACGTGTGTGTGTAGCCCCAGTTTGAGTCACTGGGCCCAGAGATACACTGACTCCCTGCTTCTGATTCAGGGACTCTGAAATTCAGAGGGTTTGGGGCAAAGAGTGTTTCTTTTTTTCCTTCTTCATTAAATTTTATTCGTTTTGTTGTTGTTGGGAATAAATACAGCAAATATAAACTAATTAAACAGTTCCTGCGAGTACCTTTTAGTGACATTGATTACATTCTTCAAGTTGTGCAGCCATTCTTACCCTCCTTTTCTGAGTTGTTCTTCCCTCATTAATATAAACTTGCTGGCCCCTAAGGTTCCTTTCTATCTAGTCTTTCAAGTTGTTGTTGTCAGTTTGATCCTATAAAGGTAGTTCTTGAAAGAGCAAAATGCTCAAGGCAGACCTTATTTTTTTTTTTTTTTTACTAATTAAGCTAAACTATTGTTCAATTTTAAGAAGGGGTATTATCTTTGGTTTAAGGTTTAAAGATTACCTGAGGGCAGTACTTTCAGGGGTTCAGCTAGCCAGCCTTCATGGCTCCAGGAAATCTGGAGTCTATGAGAATTGAAATTTCTGTTCTGCATTTCCCCCCTTTTGATCAGGATTCCTCTATGGATTCTTTGATCAAATATTCAATAATGGTAGCTGGGCAGCACCTTCCAGTACTTTTGTTCTCATAGCAAAGGAGGTAGTTATTCAGGGAGGCAATTAGCCATACACTGGAGTGTTCTTTTAACAACAGTGAATTAGTCCCTTGATTTGATTGTTTCTATTAATGAACCAGTAACATAATTAATTAGTAATTAGGACACCCAAGAGGCCTGTTTCCCTTTGAATCGTTCACTGGAGATAAACCGAGCCCAAACCAAACCAACTGCCATTGAGTCAATTCCAACTCATAGCAACCCTATAGGACAGAGTAGAACTGCCCCATAGGGTTTCCAAAGTTGTAAATCTTTATGGAAACAGACTGCCTCCTCTTTCTCCCACACAACAGCTGGTGGGTTCGAACCACCAATCTTTTGGTTAGCAGCCAAATAAATGCCTTAACTGCTGCACCACCAGAGCTCCTGATTTTAGCAAAGCACCAGCATATTTATCTCTAAGAAGGGTAAAGGGAATACAAAAAATCCTGGGTTTTGCTGCAAGCTGGAGTAGTTAAAAGTTTGTGTGGCTGATAGAACCAGTGTATTTAATGATGCGTTGCTCCAAGCAAAGGCAGAGGTTATACTCCTATCTTCCACAGACTAATTTTGGTCAAGTAACTACAACCTCTCTAGTCAGACAGAAAGAGCACGAAGTGTAACTCTGTATAAGCTCTACATTATGTCCTGTGTCTTTTTCACCAGGAATGACTATAAAACTCTTCCTTGAGGGTTGCATGATGAATTTCTTGACTTACCAACTCCTTGTGGCTGTGTTTTGCAGGAGAAGCTGTGCCTGAGGATGAGCAGATCAGTGCTAAGGATCAGAAGAACCTGGAGCCCTGTGATAACACTCCTATCATAGACAATATTGCTCCTGTTGTTGCTGGCATCTCCACAGAGGAGAAGGAGAAGTACGATGAGGAGATCTCCAGTCTCTACCGACAACTGGATGATAAGGTAGCCAGAGATTTACAGTCTTCACACTAGAGACCAGGATGGCAGATCCCTTACCTTTTGACCATAAACAACTTGAGGCCCCATGGAGCTGATAAAGGGCTTCAGGCTGCTTTGGAGCTTATCTTCTTAACACCTACCCTAGTTTTTATTGGGTGGCCTTAGGGTACTTGAGGGAGCTCTGGTAGCATAGTGCCTAAGGCGCTTGACTGCTAACCAGAAGGCTGGCGGTTCAAACCCACCAGCCACTCCTCGGAAGGAAGGTTGGGCAATCCTACTTCCGTAGTGATACTGCCTCGGAAACCCAAGGAGGGGTCTCTATGAGTCAGGGCCGACTCCATGGCACATAACAACAACAACAACAACAGGGTACTTGATTCATATGGAACGGAACTTTGATTAGAAATATGGGTGTTGACCTGGATAGGCTGACAGGGTTCTTTCTGGAAATTGGAACTGGAGCTGATTACTCATGAAAGAGTGAATATGCATGATCTTTGTTTATTTCTCCCTTCTTTTCTTCTTTGGGCCTTTTCTTTATCACTAGAAACTCCCACCAGTGGCCTCAGCTACAGGGGCATGGTTGATGGCTCCTAAAAAGTGTGTGCTTTGAACATGTGGCTCCAAGGCCCTGAATTGGGAAACTTTAGTAGTGGTATGTGGTTCTGCACTATCTATGAAGCTGTTTTCAGGGGCATACTCATGAGAGTAGTTTGAGCCTGCTGATTAGAGATGTCCAATTTTATGGCAAAATTTTGGGACTCCAATAATCAGGTAAACGCATAAATTAGAACAGAGGGAAAGAGACCTTAGAGAACATTGTGTATCGGTCGTCTGCAATGAAAGGTTGAGTTAGGAATCTCAGAGGCATAGGAATTAAATTGATATTTCACATGATCTTGGCATATTGCCCTTGGAATATTCTAAATCCTTTTAGTTCATTTCATCAAGGTGGCTGATATTTTTAGTATGATTTAATCTATTCTGCTGTGGTTTAGCTCAGAGCGCTTTGGGACACCTCTGACTTGGATGAAACAGCTTTATTATGTTAACATCATCATTACAGTAATCTTATAGGCCCCTCTCTTTGGGGTAAAGCTCAAAGTCTAGTATCACCTTCTTAAGCTGATTGTAGCTGGTGGCCTTAAAAAAGTCAGTTCTGCTCATTTGTGACTTTGAGTTTGCATTATGACTACAATGTTAAACTGCATTCGCCACTTTTCTGGTAACATATTTAATAAGATATGCACACCTATGAGTGCTGGGATAACTGCCCTTGAGGCACTTGGCATACCCTTCTATTTCTACAGGTATTTTACAAAAAAGAAAGACAAAAAGCAGCTCAATAGTGAGGTTAATAGTGTATGCAATTTCTTTATTTCCCCAAAGAAGTGCTCTTGTTCAAATAGTAAGGAAGATGTTGTACTTCAGTTTTAGTTTTTTGTCACTTCTTATTTTAGAACCCAAGGAGCTCTGGTAGCACAGTGCTTAACACATCCAACTGCTAACCAGAAGATTGGTGGTTCAAACTCACCAGCCAATCCATGGAAGCAATACTGGGGAATCCTCTGTAAAGATTTACTGCCTTGGAAACCCAATGGGGGTAACTATGAGTCAGAATCAACTCGATGGCAGTGGTTTTGGTTTTGATTTTAGAATCGATGGGCTCATTTTTAATAATTCCCAGAGAAACTTAGATGAAGAGCATGAAACTGAATCTGTATTCTCTTCTCCATGAATAGATGTCTGTCAGGGTTGGAATTGGAATTATTTATCTTGGTGGCATGAGGAGCTTCGAGAGACTTCAAACTAGAGTCTCAATTCTAGTTTCTGTAATGTGGTGATGAGGACCAAATGCAAACAAACAAAAAAACCTAAATCCATTGCTATAGAGTCAATTCCAACTCATAGCAACCCTCTAGGACAAGGTATAACTGCCTCACAGGGTTTCCAAGGATATAATCTTAACAGGAACAGACTGACACATCTTTCTCCCATGGGACAGCTGGTGGGTTTGAACCACAGACCTTTCGGTTAGTAGCCAAGTGCTTAACTACTGTTCCCCCAGGGCTCAGACTGAGCTTAGAGACATGAAAATGCCATGTTCTGGGCATTCAGTTGGTGACTGACAGAGCTGGCCCTAGAGTCTAATAGGTATCCAGTGATAGCACTGATGGCCAGCCCAAGGAATTTTCTGTCATATCCTTTTACTTTAGCATATGCTGTGAAAATTTTGTCAAGAACACATTTTTAGGTTTGTAATTGTGGTTCATTGCTGCCACTTCTGTCCTCACAGGGTGGAGCTGAGAGATCTGGGAGGGAACTGAGCCCAGAAACCTCAGCCATGTGGGGCACCAAAGCTATTGATCAGACCTTAGTAATTCTACCACAGACTGACAGCCTGATTATGTCTTATTAGCTGTCATTTCTATTTGTCCTCTTTTGAAGGTTCTAAAAGGTGTTTGTTTCCATGCTTATGATATAGGCCATTTCATATCTCTGAGAATACATGAGTTGGAACGTGTTGTCTTCATAGATTTTAGAATGTTAGAACTGAAAGTATCTGGGTCTACATGAGAAACTAGCCCAGGGTGGTTACGTGACTTATGTAAACTTACATCACCTCTAATTGACAGAGCTGGCATGAGGTTATACGTCTTCTGACTCCCAGTCCAGTGCTCGTATCCTTTTGGCCTTAACCCTCTAAGTGAGGGAATTAATCAACCTGATGAATGTATTTACAATGTAGTGGAAGAAGGACAACATGGTTTCTTCTCAATTGTTCCCTTCTATCTACCTTGCCCTTCCAGGATTGTTAGGACAGATACTTTCTCTATAAAGGCATGCACTGCAGAATCAGACCTGTGATTTAATAATGCTGAGACTGGGTTGATGACCTCACCTGCTGAAGCTGTCTTTCTTATCTATAAAGTGGAGATTATCGCTGTTACTTCAGAGTCTCTGGCTGGTACAAATGTTTAAGTGCTCTAATCAAAAGGTTGGTGGTTTGAATCTTCTCAGAGGAACTTTGGGAGAAAGACCTGGCAATCTGCTTCCAAAAGATCATAGCCTTGAAAACCCTATGGAGCAGCTGCATTCTGCACACATGGGGTCTTCATTGGTTGAAATTGACCTGATGGCAACTGGTTTGGTTTTGTGGCACCTGTTGCTTCAAAAGGTTGCAATGGGATTTCAGAGTTCCTAGTACATAACAAGGAGCTCTGGTAGTGTAGTGCCTAAGACACTTGACTACTAACCAGAAGGCTGGCGGTTCAAACCTACCAGTCACTCCTCGGAAGGAAGGTTGGGCAATCTACTTCCGTAGTGATACCACTTTGGAAACCCAAGGAGGAGTCGCTATGAGTCGGGTCCGACTCAATGGCACATAACAACAACAAAAACAGTACATAACAGATTTCAAAGAATGAAACAGTAAAAATATGGTACTTCTACAACTAAACTATTTTGTAGGGCATATTTTCCCTTCCACTTTATAAACTTAGCCTATCAGTTACCAGGGACAATTTTGTGTTTATGCTCCTCAGCACATAAATATTAAACAACTTCTCATAAAAGCCCCAAGGAGTCTAACATTAGTGAGCTGTCATTTTTACATATTTACATGAAATAGGTGAGTTAGCCACTGATCACTAGAAATCTTTTGATTATAAAGATGATTTTGTTGCAACACTAGTCAGTAAGATAAGATTCAACTTATGTTTTGACTTAAACTAGATTCATGTCCTAGATCTACTTTATGTACAATGGTATTGAAGAGGAGGCATCAGCAACATGTGCCAAGAGCCAACTTGTTCATCTTCTAACTCTGTTTTCAGCTCACCTGTGCACCTCCACCCCTTCCATACCATATGTGATGTGGTTTCTCATTTCAGCAAACAGAACTCAATAGGGAGGAGGACAAAAGGAAAGAAGAGAACTAATATTTTCTTCTGTTATTCATGAACATATATATATATATATATATATATATACATATATATATATAT